TTACATATGAAGATTTATTTATTTATATTAGAAATGAAGATTCACAGAGAGGAGGGACAGAGGTCTTCTGGCCTCTGGTTTATTCCCCAAACGACCGTAATGACCAGAGCTGAGCAAATCCAAAGCCAGGAGTTTCTTCCAGGTCTCCCACATGGGTGTGGGGTCCCAAGGCTTTGGGCTGTCCATCCGAGAGCTGGATGGGAAGCAGGGCCATTGGGACATGAATGAGTGCCCATATGGAATCCCAGCGCATGCAAAGCGAGCACTTCACCGCCTCTAGGCTACTGCACTGGACCTAGCCATATGATTCTCTTAAAAAGGAAACTTGGTAATATTTTTGTTCTGGTAGGTAGAGGTACTAAAAGGAAACTTGAGAATGATTTCAAGTTTATCTCTCTCCTCCTTTCCCTCCCCTCTCCTCTCTTTCCTTCCTTTCCCCCTCCCTCTGTTTAATGTTCTGTTTTTTATTTAACAAAATGTGTTCAGGGCAGTTCATTTGAGCATTTCACATATTATAACTAAAGAACATAAAAACATTTCTTAATCAAAAGATAGATCAAGAGTACTTTGGAAAATCAAGGAAAATGAGATTGAGATAAGCTTATCTTAATTAAATTAAAATTAAAGCAGTTCTGAAATTCCTGCATAGCTATTTTGTAAAATACATTTTCTTCATGAGCATGTGACACAGTGCACCCTGAATGCCATATCTGAAGTATGAGAGGACTGAAATTGGCCCAGAGACAAAATAGGGAACTTTTAACGCTCTTGGCAAACTTTTGAGAGTGGACTGGTCAAACCTTTTCTGGTCTGTGTTTTTACCATGGTGGCGATGGTGACTGGAAGCCGTTGTTTTCTTGTAGAGAACAGTGTAAGGAATCTTCCGCCAATAGTGTAATTGTAGAATTTTTTTTTGGTGGCCAAATATCTGTAGTACTGTTTTCACTCTTATCTAGAAAGACCAAAAGAATTTACTAATTTTCTTAAATCAAAAACTGTCAAGTATTTCCTATGTATGCATTTGGGGAGGGATGTTAAAAATAACTTCACTCACCAATTGGAATTCTTTTTGTGAATTGAAAATTGTAACCACCCTCCCCCCGCCTCCCAAAAGAATCATAAACCCAAGTGTCTTAAGGAGTTACTTGAAAATTGAGTGGTTCCTGGGTTCTTTATTTTTCTATTACTCTGGCAAATAGAATTAGCCTTAACTTAGTGACATTTCAAAGCAATCTAAACATTTTTTATACTGTGATGACATGAAAAATACTTGAGACAAGACTGAACAAAGCTATACATTTTCAAAGCAAAACTCAGGTCACAAGCAAGTGTTTAGTATCTCAGCAAATATATGGGCACTGCCACTTTTTCCATTTAAAAATTTGACTCGCTGTATAAAAAGCCTTCAAAATAGTCATATTCATTGACTCATTACTGCTTTTATTCCAAGCAGATTTTTCCAGAGAAATCATCAGAAGTCAAACATTGCAAAGATTTTTAGTGTTACTTAAGAGAAAGAAACTGGAAATCACCGTTACATGGCATGGGAATGGTAGTGTAATTTGCCTTATTAGACATCTGTTTAAAAGACATTTCAAAGTGCTTTAAGGGGAAGAGCCATTTACTCGGTGTGTATACACACATTTTAAATCATCTTTTATGTACTTTGGAAGAGAGACCTTATTATTAACTGAATCTAGTGACTATGGAGAAAAATCATTTCTACAATTATACCGAGTGCTTATAGGGACAGCGTGCTTTTCTCATCTGCTTATTCCCAGATCTTTTAAATGAGTATTGAACTTCATGGAAGCTGAAAATACAGCCTATTTAATGCTTCTGGAAAATATACCCTATTCACAGAACTCAAATAAATGTACTTCTGAGTTCGACATTTTGCAAGAAGGGTGTGCAGTTGTGGCCCCGTGTGGGGTTCAGCCATCTCCGGGGACACCTGCGTGCCATAATAGAGTGCCAGAGTGAGTCCCTGCTACTGCACTTGCCAAGTTTCCTGCTGGGATGCTAACTGCTTGGCGTGGGTTCCAGGCTCTTGGCTTTAGCTGGCACAGCCCATGCTGCTGCGGGCATTTGGGGAGTGAACCAACAAATGGAAGATTCTTTTTCTCCCTTCCTTCCTCTTGGTCACTTTGCCAAATCAACCTGTAAATAAATCTCAAACCATTTAGTATTGGCAGTAAACAATTATTTCAGGATTTATTTTTAACTTTTTTTAAAGGTTTTTTTTTGTTTTTTTTTTTTTGGAAAGTCAGATAGGAGGGGATAGAGAGGAAGATACTCTGTTCATTGATTCACTGCCTAATTGGCTACAATGGCTAGAACTTAGCTGATCCAGAGCCAGGAGTCAGGATCCTCTTCCGGATCTCCCACATGGGTGTAGGGTCCCATGGCCTTAGGCCGTCCTTGACTGCTTTCCCCGGGCCACAAGCAGGGAGGTGGATGGGAAACATGGCTGCTGGGATTAGAACCAGTGCCATATGGGATCCTGGCACATGCAAGGCGAGGGCCCTAGCTACTAGGCTACTGTGATGGGCCCCAGAGTTTATTTTTAATTAAGAAATTCCTTTTAGCTATGAAGTGATACAATCGCCTGACTTATAGTTTCCATCAACATATAAACCATGCAACACTTCCTTTAGAACTCAGAATCTCTGTGTGTATGTGTGTATGCATCAGATGCACACACACTGTAGAGACAAGCACTGTGGCCCTTGTTGATCTCCATCAGGGGCGGTTCCCGAAGCTTGACCAGAAACACAGCACACCGTGAGCAGGAGTATACTGAGCTGGGAAGTGCTATCATAGTTGGTATTTTCCTGGTTTTATCCTCACGTCACTGAAATTTTGATAGAGAAAATATTATGAAATACAAAAGCAAGAGCCACTCTGTATTGAGAAATGTAGAGGTCACATACCTTCCCCCGCCTCGTGTCATTCCCCTGCCTCGGGGTAGTTTGCTTAGGAGCACGCACTGACACCTGATGGACACTGAATTCTGGAATTAGCAAGTCGGTGTTGGCGACTGTCTCTGTAGGTCTTACAGGCATCCACTCTTGAATATCTGGATCTTTTCTCAAGTACTTCCATTTGACCAAAAGCATAATATGATCTTGGCTTTTTTAAAAAAATGCTTAATTTGAAAACTTTGGTATTTCGAAGTTTAAGTTTCTTACAGTGGTTCTTGCTATATATTTGCAGCCTTGTGAAATAGTCTTTGTTAGTTCTGTATCATCAGCCCCGTTAGCAGCCACTCTCCATCCCTCTCCCCTCTGCCCTTCCCCAGCCTTAGGGAAACCTCATATGTCTGACTCAGTTTGCCTGTTCTGGACATTTCAAGTAGATTGTGTCATGCAAGTATCATGTGACATGCAGTCTTGTGACTGTGCTTAATGCCTGTTTTCAAGCTGTGACACTATCCTTGTTATACCATGTATCAATATTGCACTCATTTCAGTTGCCAAAGAAATATCCCTCTTGTATTATGGTTTTTTTTTCTGTTTACCAATGGATAGACATTTGAGTTTGCTTCTACTTTTGGGCCATTATCAATCGGTGCCTTTGAGTTGTGTGTAATTGTGTACCGGTTTTCATGTGGACATACATTTTCATTTATCTCTAGTAGGTACTTTGGAGTAAAATTTCTAGATCATGTGGTATTGTGGCTGGCCCAGGCTGCCATAATGAAATTTTTTTTTTTTTCAGTTCTGTGTTTGGCTTCTGCCGGAAGCATCTTTTTTGCTGCCTTCTCACTGTGTCCTAGCCAGGGGTGGGGCTGGAGAGAGGAACCTGTTCTCATCTTTGGAGGGCACCACTTCTGTCTGATCAGCGTCCATCCTGTAACTTCATTTAGTGGGAATCGCTGCTTTCAAGGTGTGGTCTTTGGGAAAGTTATAGATGGGGGTTAGTGCTTCAACACCTGCATAGTGCAAATGCGGCTCAATTCCTGGCCCGTAGTAACTAATTCTGAGGAACGCCTAACACAGTACTCCTTCTACTTTTCCAATCACCATTTCTTTCCCCTTTAGTCTTGGATATTGTATATGTTGAAGTTAGGGAAATAAGGAAGCAGAATGCTAACTTTTAACTTATTTCACTGACTTTCAGCTTATTTGCTGACTGCTGACTGTCAGACAGTTGCTGTCCATGGAAATTGGGATGTGGGGGGGTCCATCTGCAAATGAAAAGGACACTGCTACTGATTATGCTGGGACAAGAGGCATGAGTGTCCCAGAGACTGTTCCAGGCAAATGAGAACCCAGAGTCTGCTTGCCAACTAATTGAGAGGAAAAATGAGGTGGCAGGCTTAGCTTCCTTCTCTCTCTTTTTTTAAAGATTTATTTATTGTTATTGCAAAGTCAGATATACAGAGAGGAAGATCTTCATCTGATGATTCACTTTCCAAGCAGCTGCAATGGCCAGAACTGCCGGAACTGCACCCATCCGAAGCCAGGAGCCTAGAACCTCTTACGAATCTCCCACATGAGTGCAGGGTTCCAAAGCTTTGGGCCGTCCTCTGCTGCTTTCCCAGGTCACAAGCAGAAAGCTGAATGGGAAGCAAAGCTGCCTAGAGTAGAACTGGTGCCCATATGGGATCCCAGGCACATGCAAGGCGAGGACTCCAGCCACTAGGCTATCACGCCAGGCCCGCTCCCTTCTCTTCTATAAGAGTCCGTGGGAGTGGTGAGGAGGACTCTAGGTTGCAAAGACAATCACACGGACAACTTTAGCCATGTCTTCATTTTCTTTTTTTGTGTTGCTCCCACAAGTGGGTGTGTGTCAGAGGGCTTTGTAGATTACTTAGTGATAACTGAATTACCTCTAGCAATGGTTGTGGGTTTTAAATGTGAAATAGTGATTGTAGTTAGCAAGGTGTGACCCATTAATTTTCATAATATGTATTTGAGTTAAGCATTTTGTTTCTTCCAGGGAACAACAGATCATTTCGACATTGCTACATATGAGACTTCAAAATATTCAAATGTGCTGAGAACTTTGGAAATGGGCCATTTCTCCTTCTCTTCTGCAAGAAGAAATTGAAGAAGACCTAAAAGAGCAGAGGTTTAAAGTTAACATCCAGAATGAATGATGGTAGTTTGGGTGATAAGACAGAAGATGAACCACGATCCCAGCTTACCAGTGAGGAAAGTGTAACTACAGATGTGTACAGCCAGCGGTCGCCTTCTCTGCAGCAATCCCCAAGCAACCATGTGACCTGGGGTTGTACCAGCATGGATGACATGGTGGTAGACTGTGAAACCAGTCCTGCTGTGGACAGTGGTGAAAATCATTCTCTCCGCCATCAGTGTGCTGAAATACTTGATCACCCCAAATCCTCACGTGATTTCATGAGGAATCAGATGTCACAGAGGCGTGAGGTTTCCATGTGTCCGTCTTCTGTCCTGGGGAACACAGGAGCTCCCCAGTACCTGCATGACAGCTGTCACCCCCTGGAAGCAGTTCAGGACAGTGTTGAGTCCTCACCACCCTCTGTGTGGAAGTCTAACTGTGACATGAATTGTACAGACTGCTCTGCCCTCTTGGAGCTAAACCAGACATTTGACCTTCAAGTGGAAAAGACTAACTGCACCTTTGTAACTCATCATGCCATTGAAAATCCTCAGTCTTTGCACACCCCTGGAAGCCTGCAGCAGACCAGAAGGGGAAGTGGAGGTACATCTTCATTCTCTTCAACTTGGACATCTTCCCAATCTGATAGGTTGCATGTGAGAGAAGCTAGTTATGAAAAAAAAGTCTTGGCAAACACTCAAGCTGAACCACTACCGACCCAAGACGCGGCATACGTGTTCTCTGATGTGCTGATGCAAACTGAGGCTGTGGTTCCAGAATTTGGAAATGGGTGTCAGTATTCTTCAGGAATGGTCACCAGTGAGTACACAGTTGGATCACAGCATCAGCTCTCTGCAGAAAAAGAGATACACACTGTAGCACCAGCCTCCGATGGCACACAAGTCCCCAGCGGGTCTGTACTACCGGAGTGTTTTTGTGTACCTAAAAAGGAGCCAAATGGTGAGATACATTCAGTGAGCTCATATGGGCAGAAGGAAATGGACCAAACTCTAAGAGAAACAGTGTCTAATTGTTGCATTGATTATGAGTGCCCTGTCCTGGTGCCAACTTTTGGTAAAAGTGGAGCCCGAGTGTTGAACTCGGAGCATGAAGTCATTGTGACTGAAGATGCACAAAGTGCCTCCAATGAGAAGGATTCCAGATTCCAAGATCAGACCATAGAATTGATGCTGAGTAGCCCACCGGCACAGAAGGTAATTTCATCACTTGACTTGACTTGGGATGCAAATGATATGCTCATTAGCCCAGATAACTCTGTCTATGTGTCAACACCAGTGCTGGAACACACAAATGCAGGATTTTGTGTTTCTCCTATCACAGCAACAGAGAACTGTAATAAAGCGGGAAAGAATATCCGTGAGCTTAAACATTTACCAGACTTGAAGGAGACAACCATGAATATATCTAAATGTAGTCTGGGAAGATCAACAGCCAAAACAAATATGCCTATAGGCAGCAAATTTAGAAAGGCTGAAATTATAAGTTACCCAAGACCAAACTTCAAGAATGTAAAAGCCAAAGTTGTATCTAGATCGGTGTTGCCTCCCAAGGACCCTGCTTTACCGAAGGGCACACTTAAGCCTCAGTTGACCAGTGGTTCATCTCCCTCATCAGGGTCTTCCTCAAAACCGTTGACAGTCCTGAACAAAGCCCCGAGATCTGACTTGAGTACGAACACAAAAGCAGGAATCCTAATTAACAAGATGCATAAGCAGCAGTTTAATAAGCTCATTACTAGCCAGGCTGTGCATGTCACAACTCATTCTAAAAATGCCTTGCACAAGGTTCCAAGAACAACATCTGCTGTGAAATCGAATCAGGAAGATGTTGACAGAGCAAGTTCTTCTAACCCAGCATGTGGGACTGGGTCTGTGGCTGCTTTTCTCCAAAAGATGCAAGGCATGGAAAGTGCGGAATGTCCGGAAGTGACGTATGTTTCCCATGTCGAACGGATTAGCCCTGAAAAGAAGGGTGAAAAAGAAAATGAGACACCTAAGGAGAAACAAGAGCTGAAAAAGGAAATCCTGAATAAGACTTTTGAATATGGCTCTCTGTTTTTGGTAAGTGAGACTATGGAAGTGCTTCCAGGGTTGGGGAGTAAGCTGAGCTGTATTAGCCAATAGCTCTCCATGAGAATTCCATAATATTGCAGAACTGGGTGTGCATGTTGGTGTGCAGGTAGCATATGTCTTGTCAGTGCATGTGAAAGTGTCAACAGATCACAGTATAAAAACCCACAGACTGAAAAAAGTTCTCTTTCAGTGTTTTGTGTTAAATATCCATGTTTCTTTTACTAGCGTGCTGAATAACTAAGCTTAATATTGTAGACTAATTAGTTATTAGTTAGAGCTACTATGATCAGACTAGATTTCATTGTTTATGCGGAGAAAAAAAGGTTTGTTTATATACTTAAAATGTACTCCATTTAAGAAATGCTAGGGAGTGCTGGTAAACATAGCAACGCAAAAATAGCCCCAGGAAGTAGAGCCTTCTCCTGGGAGCAGTGCATTTGCCCATGACCAGCAAATGTCACTTTAGGAAAGGAAGTGTTTGAGACCCAAAGGTGAAAAGATTGGGCTACCGAACGTGTCAGGTTTCTAAATATGTTAACTTCCAGTACACAGAATAAACCATTGCATTTTGTTTGTACTGAGCAGAAAGGCAATATGTCCTCCACTTAAAGAATGAATTCTTCTGAGTTCGGAGGTTATTTTTCTTGAAGCAAGCATGTATCTTTTACTACAGTGCAAAGAAACTGATTTTCTTAGTACCAAAAATCAGGTCATTCTGGGCTCTGTGTACCTATTTTTGGCAGTGGGGGCATTGCTGTATTTTCAGCCCCACACAAGCTGTCCTTGGGTGCCTGTGCTCAGGTCGGGAACGGTGCGAATTGTGTGCGGAGGGAAGCAGGAGTGAGCCAGTCACCTGTCCCTTGGAGCACTTCTAAGAGGGATGAAGCCCACACGATCGTCCCATGCCACAGGACTGTTTGGCAGTGTTTTCAGGGTTCACTGGGGGCCACAGGCTGTCCCTCCTGGGTCCTTCTAGGGAGTGATGTTAGGAAAGATTACTGTGGATACTGTTTTTGTGGGGGAGGTAGCGAGGGGGGATTTGAGAGAAAAAGTGCTGCTTGCAAAGATGTGGGCAGCATTTGGAGAAGTAATTGCAGAAGAGACTGTTTCCATGTTGAAGCTAGACCTGAATGGAGCAGGTCAAGGATCCTGTTGGAATAAGAAGTTCCTGGAGAGGACCACTGAAGACCCCCAGCCAGGGGCTGTGGCCCTTTGCTGAGGGTAGGGGTGATACAGACTTTCAGGCATGACCTTGAAGGGGGAGAGAAAGGAACACTGTCAAATCTCACCAGAAGCCAGAGGAAGGCCAGGGAACAGGTGAGCTCCCGACAGGGTGAAGGTCCTGATAGGTGGTCGGCAGAACCAACAGAGCTGTCAGCACCATGGATTTGCTGTTCTTTGGTCTCCATACCACCATGAAGACACAGTCTTCGGTGGAGTCAGTTTAGAGGTGTTTTGGCTTCAATAATAAATCCTGCTTGTGGGAGAAGGCTGGCACCTCACAGGTGTTTCTAATGAGTTTGTTTATTTCGCAACTCAGATTGAGTTGTTCTCATGAAGTCAAACTCATTTGACATCATTTATAATCCTAATATTGGGCTAAGTTTAAGTTGTAATGGTCTTTTCATTATAATCAACTTGATTAGCCTGATGTTGAGATCTACATGCCTAGAAAGATGTTTATTCCCTCACAATTTATGGGAAGCTTTTGTTGCATGTCAGTCCCCAGCTACTAGAACACCTAGCATAAAGTTTCGTTAACAGCATGTAAGTGTACGTTGGTGATGGGATTTTGGAGCTATGAGCATTTCTGCTGTGTGCACCCAGATTTAGCCTTCTGTTTCCCACATGCAGTGTGGAAAAGATCATTTTCTGGGATCATAATGGAATACTGGAGTTGGGTAATGGGATCCTCAGGTTGAAATGCAAACCAGCACTTCTTGGAGAAGCAGCACTTCGCATCCGAACAATCTCACTTTGAATTTGTAGTTGCAAGTGCTGTGTTTAACAAGTCCTGGAGGACTGTCCCGTGTTCTTACTCTTCTTCCATGATCATGTCTTGAGCACAGTGCCCTCTGATTGGTATCAGTTCCCACTTGTCCCAGGGAATGGTACTGGATAAGTCACTGCTGGCTTTGTACTCACCGTAGAGAGCTGAGTGCATGGACATTGGCTGCAGTGTTTACTCAAAGGCCAGTGTGGATGTTCACTTCTGCAGCACCCAAAGGCTCCAACTTCCCTGGGTCACAGGATGAGACAGGCCTGGAAGGATGTGTCAACATATACTCTATTGGTCTTGAGTTCAATTGGACTTTGCTTTAACTGAGTCCTTGGGTTTCTTACAACCCCATGGCTTTTGGGTGGTTGGAAGCATTCTTACTAGGCAGAAGGAATTTGGCCATGGAGGTTAAGTGAAGTCACCTATTGTAGAAGTCATGGATTCATGATCATGTGTTGTTACATCTTGGGAGAGTTGCATTACATACGAGGAAAGGAATTAATCTTTATTTGCTGCCTGCTCTGGAGCCAGAGGCCTTTTTTTATGTTATGTCACATAGTTCCCAGAAATGCCCAGGTGTTATATATACACTGCTCATTCTTTCCAGTAACAACGGAGCAGTTGTTGCTTCCATGTGAGTCCTTCAGAGCAGTGACTTGGAATTCACCCTGCTCATCAGTGGTCACATTATTGGATCCCGCCTCTTTCTGCCAGGCGCACACCAGAAGGCTTCAAAATGTTGCAGAATGTTGTTTTTCTGAAAGGCAAAATAAACAATTTGCTGAAGATTTGCCTGTGTAGGTTACTAAGTAGGTTGGTTTACATTTTTTAAAATAAAAATTTCTTATTTTTATTTGAAAGGCAGGTTTACAGAGATAAGGAGAGACATAAAGAGGTATCTTTCAACTGTTGGTTCACTCCCCAAATGGCTGCAAAGGCTGGAGCTGAGCTGATCTGAAGCCAAGAGTTTCTTCAGGGTCTCCCACATAGGTTCAAGGGCTCGTGTACTTCCACTGCTTTCCCAGGTCATAAGCAGGAAGCTGGATCAGAAGTGGAACTGACAGAGCACAAACCTGCAGCCATATGGCATGCCAGTACCACAAGCAGAAGATTAACATGCTATGGCATGGCACCAGCTCCCAGGGTTTATATTTTTTAAAAGGTTTAGCTCAGAGAGGTTTAACTTAGTTCTTTAAAAAAATTATTTTTATTGCAAAGTCAGATATACAGAGAGGAGAAAGAGAGGAAGAGCTTTCATCCATTGATTCACTCCCCAAGTGAGCGCAATGGCCAATGCTATCCAGAGCCGAAGCCAGGATCCAGAAACTTTCCTCTGGGTATCCCACAGGAGTGCAGGGTCCCAAAGCTTTGGGCCGTCCTTGACTGCTTTCCCAGGCCACAAGCAGGGAGCTGGATGGGAAGGGGGGCAGCCAGGACATGAACCAGCACCTATACGTAGCTGTCAAGATTAGAACGGTGCTCATATGGGATCCCAGCGCATTGAAGGTGAGGACTTCAGCCTCTAGGCCACTGTGCTGGGCCCTAGCCAGTGTTAAGGTATAGATAGAACTTTGTTAATCTGTTTGCCATCTCCAGCTTTTCTTGGCCTTAATGTTCTGTTCTATAGGGTTAGCACATGAGCTCCAGCAGTTCTCTCGCACATATGTTCTGTTTTTATCTAAGAGTATGAATTTAGCTCCTGTCAGCGCAAGTGCTTTTGTGTGTGTATTGAAAATAATTTGTAGGGCTCAGCGGTGTGGCCTAGCGGCTAAAGTCCTCGCCTTGAACACTCCAGGATCTCATATGGGCGTCAGTTCTGGTCCTGGCAGCTCCACTTCCCATCCAGCTCCCTGCTTGTGGCCTGGGAGGGCAGTCGAGGACGGCCTGATGCTTTGGGACCCTGCAACCGTGTGGGAGACATTAGTGGAGGAGGTTCCTGGCTCGTGGCTCCGGATTGGCACAGCACTGGCCGTTGCACTCACTTGGGGAGTGAATCATTGGACAGAAGATCTTCCTCTCCGTCTCTCCTCCTCTCTGTATATCTGACTTTCCAGTAAATAAATAAATCTTAAAAAAAAAGAAAAAATTTGTAAACTATTAAAGAAGCGTAACAATTGAGGTGAAAGGCAGACTGGTTCAAACGTGGCTGTTTCCTTCCCTGGCCTGGTGACCTAGAGCAAGTTACTTACTCTCTATGGAGCTTAAAAAAATTTTTTTTTTAGCATCAAGGGAGAAGATTAACTAGCTCATGGTGCTGGACTTTGTGTAAAGCTCAGTCATGTCTCAGCTGACTGCAAGATGGGAACCTACAGTGTGCTGCATCTGAGTGGTGATTGTTAGGAGGCAGACAAGCAAGACCAAGCTCCTGGACTAACCTGGCACCTAGTGCAGTGGGTGGGTGCATAAGATCAGGCTTAGCACTTCCTGGTCTGTAAAAGGGGTGTGGTCAAAGCCTCCTCCTACAGTAATGGAATGAGGAGAAACTGAGCTGGTGTCCTGTTGTCATTGCCCACTGGAGACACCTGCAGGTGCCGTGTCAGCGTGTAGAGAGGAAGCTCAGTGCTCAGGAATCTCAGGAGAGCGTGTGCTTGATGTGTTGGGTTGTGGATGTTCCAGCGTATAGGTGGCGATCGAAATGGTGGTCAGACTCATCCACAGAGAGTAAATCTATGGTGAGACAGGACAGGACCCAGTGAAGGCCTTGTGAGACCACTGCCTGAAGATGCCGAAGAGCAGGACTCACAGAAAAAAGTCCATTCAGTCAAAAGGAAAATGGGCAGGAGTCTGTCGGGGAGACTGGAGGAGGACAGGGTCGCCAGCCTCAGATGCCCTGGCCATGGCCCCCAGAGTAAAACTTGACTCGTGGCTCCAGTGCTCTGGATCCAACCTGATCATGCTCTGATGAGTTGATGAGCGACATGGTACAATTTTTATTGTCTCAGAGTACGAATGCAAATGGAACGCTTGCCTGGCTTACATGGAGCTGAAGCCACCAGGAAATGGTATGGGGAAGGTGCTAGCCAGGCTAAGGTCTTACCTTTTTTCCACAGGGTTCTGCTTCAAAATCTGCAACCCCCTCGGGGAGGAGCATATCCAAGCCAGACTCCTGCGGTTTGAGGAAAACACCTGGCCCCAAATCCAAAGGGGGGCCTTCTGTTTCCTGCCTGAGGCGGAACAGCGAGGGCAGGAGCCTGGGTTCGGAGCGGGCCTTGTCCCCACAGAGGATCAGGCGGGTGTCCGGTTCGGGTAAGAATTGCAGATTTCGGTTGGGCTTCCAGCACATGGTGGATGACTGCGATGCATGATCAAGCTGGGTCTGAGTGCAGAACTGAATTTGGATTGCAGGAGCGAAGCATTCTGTTTTGAAGCTATTTGCCTTTCTTGCATGGGGAAGATGGAAAAACACAAGGACACGGCCTTCCCACAGTAGTGGGAGCGGCCGGCAAGAGAACTGGGCATCCACCAATAGCTACTTGGAAGGGTACACCACCCAAATGGTTCTTGTAAATGATTCATTTCGCTTACACATCTCTCACAGATGATTCACAGTACTTCACTGTTGCAGAGTAGATTCACAATGCGCTCTTCACCTCATGTGAGAATCACTTTTTCCCTTTACATTTTATAGAGAGGTTTCTGGAGACATGAGAGTGAGAAAAATGTGAAACTTTGCGAATGTGAGCTCCTGCTTGTTAGCCTGCATTTAGGGCTTGGTGGTTTTAAAGTCCTGTTGGAATCGGAGCGCTCCAGGCATGCTTGTTCAGTGTCAGTAACTTTGGCAGAAGGTGGATCTCTTTGTGCTACAACTCAGGGTAGGAAATGGAAGAGTCAGCCCTGTTTGTTGGAGGCTCAGAGGAAAAGTCGGCTAGCTGCTCCTGTGCGCTGCACTGGGATCACAGTCTGTTTCCACAGACAAATGAAAGACAGGTCGGATAGAGTTAGTAGAAGTGGTAGGTTCGTTTACAAAAATGGTGACTGCTACTGACTGGTCCCGCGAGGGTGTGTCTCTGAAATTACTTGTCCACACAGGTGAGAACATTGTGCACAAATTCCTAAAACTGCCCAGTCCCAGAGCCTCTCCTTCCCTCTCTTCAGTTTAGCATTCTTAGGTTTTATTTTCCAATCCTGTCATGAAGCCTCCAGTCTGAGAAACCTGTCGTGCACTGAAGTACATCCGTTTAGATTTTGGTCAAGGTTACGTTTGGGGGAGCCAATCCGCAAAGCGGTAGGAGTGTGAGAAATATTTGCAGTGCATTTTGCTTTCGTGTTGCCTGGAGGAGATGACTAGGACTGTTTTTTTTTTTTTTTTTTTCATCGGGAGAAAAGTAGAAGGGAAACTAGCAGGGTGAAGCAGTGATCTTTATTTAGGAGGCTGCCACAGTTGGAGTCAGGCAGGAATGAGAGCGAGGCTGCCACCAGCAAAGGCTTGTATTCCCTAGAGGTGGGGGAGGGGCTGCCTCGTAGCTGGGTGTTGGGAGCAGCTTTGGCCTGGTGGCCTGTGGAGCTGTGGCTCCTGCCTCCTGGCACCACTCGCCCCAGTGAGCTGCCTGGGCAGGTCCTTGGTCTACTCTGGGCATCAGCCTTCGTGTCTCTGACGTGTCAGGGTTTAGGAAACTAGGGCTGTGTTGTCTCTGGCAGTTCATAGCACTAAAGAAATAATGTGAAAGCCCACCTGATTTGCCCAGTAATGGCTGCCACCAGTGTGATTGGGCCATGTGAAATAAGGATGATATCCAGAGCACATAAAAAGATCTAAGTCTGGCTAGATGACTTGGCATCTTACCTGCATCCCAAGCAGGGTGCTGAGTTCAAGCCTTTGCTTTGTCTCTGACCCGGCTTCCTGCTAGTGCACTTGCTGAAAAGCAGGAGGCGATGGCTCAAGTCCTTGGGTTTCTGCCACCTGTGTTGGAGTCCTGGATGACATTCCAAGTTCTGGTTTTGTCTTACTCCAGCCCTGACTGTTGTGGTCATTCGAGGCAGTGAACCAGGAGTTGAAAGCTGTCTCTTCTGTTCTTGTTTTCACTCTGCCTTTCAGAAAAATAACATAGGACTTTAGATAGAATTCTTTAGTGCAGGTGAAAACTTTTTAAGCCTTTCACTCTGTACTAACACTGTGTCTTGTGGGAAAATATGTCTTTTGTAGTCTAGGGGAAAGTTCAGAGAAAGTTACTGAGTTTTTATTATTCTGTGTCAGTGAGTTTGACACCTAAGTCATACATTCAGGATTTCTTTCCAATTTGAGTTAGAAACGTTCTGTGGTGATTTTCCATATATGAATAGAGAAAAATCTGATGAAACAAGAAATCCTAAGGATTTTGACTTGAGCTTTGTATTTAATAGCTAGAAAGCTTTAATGACTAGAATGTTGGGGTTACCTCAGATTCATCTGTGGAAGCCCCAATTCCCAATGTGACCATGTTGGGAAGTAGGGCCTGTGAGGAGAGGATAAAGATGGAAAAAGTGGATAAACGGGATAAAGTGGACACATAAGTTGGTCCCTATAGCAACATGACCAGAAGAAGAGAGACCCTAGACCTCATTCTCAACTGTGTGCGACCCCGCAGGAGATGGCCACCTGCCACACAGGAAGGGGGTCTTCACCTAGACCCACATTGACCAACACCTCCATCTTGGACTTTGTGGATTCTAGGACTATAAGAAAATACATCTCTGACTGGAGCGAGCCACACCATGATGTTTCTGTAGCAGTTTTTGCTGACCAGGACTAAAGGTTGACCTGGTGATGCTCTGTTAGATTTTATTTTTAATTAGTAGCAGCAATTTTGTCCAAATACTCAGCACATTAAGAGATGTTTGTTGTGGGATGCAGGAAGGTTAATCACTACAGAGTTAAATGTAGAACAGAAAAATCAAGCAGCAAAAACAATGTGCCTTCAGATGGTGGAGAGCCTGTTGCCACCTACCAAACAATGAAGCGTTTGTGGATTAGAAAATTGAAACCCGTGGCTACCCACTGCACTCATACAAAGTTTCTGTCTTGCAAGGTAAGCAGCAAGAATGTTCCAGTCAAGTCAGGATTTTCAATAAATCCTTTCAGAAAGCCAGATGCAAAACCAGACCCAGAATTAGCCATTTTCTTAAGGCTTTAAAGTAAGTGTGGAAAGGAGTTAAAGTGAAACTTCATGGGTTCTGCCATTCTGCTGTTCAAAACCTGGAAATGCACATGAAACTAGGTTATAAGCATTGATACTGAATAAAACGCAAAGTACCTTTGCTTTTAAAAAATGTGTTTTTATATACAAATATGATCAGATGTAATAGAAATCATTTCTATGAATTATAGTACCAGGGGTAAAAGCTCCCACCATTAAGTGAATATCAGATTCCAGGTTCTGTTTTACTCATTTTATATCTCAAATCATTTAATCTTAATGATAACTTTGGGAGACCCAACCCTGTTTGATAAATGCAGAACCACCACCACTGAGAAGTTTGTCCAAGGTCACAAGGCTGGGAAATGGTGGGGGCGGAAATCAGACCTGGTGTAAGTGAGGCCCTGCAGTTTGTGGTATCAACGTTCATATTAGTCTGAAGAAACACCATTAACATGATCAGGAGTTGGGGAAAAAACACGTGGTGTTTAGAAACTGTGGTGCCTCTCCCCGCGGGTTCTATGTCAGTTTACCTTGATGTAAGTGACTTTACATGGCTATTGAGAATTAATGCTGCTGAAAATAACTGCTCAGTACCTACTGTCTGACGATTCTGACATCTTCAGAGCTTGCCTGGCCTGCCTTTGGAAGGCACGGCTGGTTCCTGGATTTTGGAGGACAAACGCCTGTGTTCCTCCTTGCACTTGTGCCATTGCCTGAGCTGGGGTGGGCAGGCGGAGGTGGCGCAGGACACACCTCCCTGCCCCGTGGATCCTTCTTATCTGAAGCCAGTTTCTTTGTGTGACAACCACAAAGCCACACAGTGTTGTGTGTGGGGTGGGGAAGAGGCCTTGCTCTCATGAACAAAATGACTTCTGGCTTTCTTTTAGGGAAAGAGAAATAGTATCTCCAAGGAGTAAACTTTTGTTTTAGCTTCCTGTGAATTCATAAGATGATTTCATTCTGAGGCAGTTGTACATCTGAAACTTGTAATAACTTGCCTGTCCTCATGTTTTTTTTTCTGTGAAGTTATTTCCTTCTTCATTAAAGTGAATTTTTTTCTTTTTTTTTCTTTTTTTTAGTCTTAAAGACATTTTTTTCCCAATTACTTTTATGTCCTTTTACTTTTCTATGCAAGAGTTTGAGAGAGATAGTAAGGGAAATTATGAGAACTTTCAGGACTTGTACATTAATTCTTAAAAATCAGGTTAAGTGCTAAGTTTTAAAAGCGAGTAGATGTTTGTTTATATATCATTAAAACCCATTCTTTAAAATATTTTCAGATTTCTTTTTTTCCAGTAAAATACTGTCAACTTTCAGGGTCTGAGTGTGTGCTATGTTCCTGCCAGATGCTACTTTAAGTTCTTCTAAATATAAAACCTCATTCATTTCTCATACCTCCTGAGCTATGGCTACTGTAATTGTCCCCATTTGGCACATGAGAATCTGAGGATTTGAAAGTTTAAGTTGTCTAACTGCACAGTTGAGGACTGGTGGAGACAAAGGGTGCAGGCTGTCTGACCCCCGAGTCTATATACCTTTCTCTGGCCCTTCAGACCCATAAAGCCCTGACATACTGTTGTCTTCACTAAGGCACATGCAGAACCCATGAACTACAGGACATGCATGCAAAGGCAGGCTCCAGAGCTCTGGCTTGGGACTGTCCAATGTGCTAGGAATTGACAAATACACCAAAGAGCTACATTCCTGGCCTTAGAGAGCTTTCATTCCAACCAGGGCAATCAAGAAATAAAAATGATTGGTATGCAAGATAATGACAGGAAGACTAAAGTAGTGAAGGGGTTATGTTTTAAATGAGTAGTCCTGAAGGCCTCCCCAAGAGAGTGACATTTGTGCAAAGACCTGAAGAAGCAGGAGGGAGCTTCCCTGGGCAGAGAACAGTAGGATCTGGGCCATGGCAAGATCTTGGCACTTGTTGGGAGGACTGAGTCCTTGAACAGTGAGCAGCCTGTTGGGTGTGCTCGTGTCAGAATAGTTGGGACAAGGAGGTGAAGCTGGGCCAAGCAGGCTGTTATGTGTACGTGAGCCAGAAGCATCATCTCTTCTCTTCCTCCCTGACATTCCCACTGTGGATTCTTGATCTGTTCCAGGCATTTTGCACTGTTCTTACCT